AATGGGGATGGCAGATAAGTGTGAACAAATTATAATAATGCATATGTATGGAAATGCCATAATTAAGCCTATTATTTTGTATCAAACAAATTAATAATTGTATAATTGGAAAGAATAAAAAAGTTTGAAAAAAATGAAAAGGTTTGGGTCAAGGTTTCTAGGGTATGTTTCTTCTCAGCAGAGGGAGGGTAAAGTGACTTTTCTTAAGTTGACAGTCTATGACACCTGGATTATTTGTCATGTGCTTGTTATTCATGCCTCTCTTCCCTCCACCGACACAGCCCTCTTTGACTCTATGCACAACAATCAGGCCTCAGAAAGCCCGTTTTCCCCACCCCGTGCTCTTCATTCACCACCCCTGCAGCTTCGACATCGTTCTGAAAAGCCACCTTGGTGTAAGTAAACATTTTTAGTTTCCTAATCAAAAGCCAAGAGGGATTAGTGGATAAGAGACTCCTTCTTAACTCCCATGAGAGTTAAGAAGGGGAGGGGCAAAGATAACAGACAAGTAGGGAGAAGCAGTCCTTCAAATTATGACTATGTGAGAGCAAATACCAGAGGGTCACCGAGGTATTAGGTTCTAGTTTTTTTTTTTTTATTTCTCTCTCTCTCTCTCTCTCTCTCTCTCTCTTTCAGAGGATGAGGAAAGGGTTTATTTTCTATTAGACATTCAGGTCACTATCCATCACTAGGGCAGTCAAGCTAAGAGCTCAAGGCAGGAATTGAAGCAGAGGCCATGGAAGAGTTCTGTGTGATAGCTTGCTCCTCGTAGCTTGCTCAGCCTGTTTTCTTATATGTTATACACCAGTTCAGGGGTGCAATCTCTGGGAGTTCACTGTTTATACATATGAAGGTTAATGAGTTTTGATTACTGGTTTTTTGTTTGTTTGTTTTCCTTTATTTATTTATTTAGTCATTTACAGCCTGCTGCCAGGGTTCTTGTTTCTTTCTTTCTTCCATTTGTTGTCCTTTTCTAGTGTCCTCATTACTTTTTCATTTTCTGCCTTTACCTAAACTTGCCAGGTAGCTCAGGCTGAGCTTGAACCTTCAGTGCTTCATAGTGCTATGTACGGTTAAAGTGCTAGCTACCATGTCTCGCTCCTGATTTAGAAAGTTTTTCTACATCCTCTTGCTTTCTTATTTTCTGGGATATCTCTTGCTCCAGAGGCATGCTGATTGCTTTAAGGGATGACTCTTCACTTGATCTTACAAAAGGTCAAGAACTGATTAAAGAAGGGTTCCTAAGAAAAGGTGAACAGCACATTCAATCAAGAGTCCTTTTTTTTGCAAGGGAGGGAGGAAGGGATTGTTTTGTTTTTGTTTTTTGATGCATGGTCTCATGTAGCCTAGGCTTCCTTTTGACTTCTGACCCTTCTATCTACCAGGTGCTGAGATTATAGCACCACCATTCCTAGTTTATGCTCTGCTGGGTACTGAGCCCAGAGTCTTGTTCATGGTAGCCTGGCACTCTACCACTGAGACACATCCATAGGCCCCTCAACTGGGACCATCCCAACAGACTGATATTGCCTTCATCGTCTCCTCTGCCTAATCATATCTTTACACTAAACCTATAGAATTAGAAACTATGGAGACAGAACCTGATAATCGACAGATATTTAAATGTCTCCCATAGTTTTAATGTGTAACAGTGATTGTGAGCCATTTAGATAAAATGTCCACGTGCTTTCAGAGTAGGAAGGAGGAGCCATGGAGATCTGGAATTGGGATCAGAGAGTATTTGTGAAAAGCTAGGTGAAGTAGGCCTCATTCTCCGGAATCTTAGATGAGCCTTAGCATCACTAGGCCAGTGTGACAGTTCCTTAGCTGAGTAAGCATACGTCTGCCCCATTTAGGAAGAATTCGGACCCTCTTCCTCCAAACACGTGAATGTATTCTAGCATTTAGTGCACAGGCACGGGTAGAGCTGCCTCCTCCCGCTTGTCTGACTTGACCTCCTTAACTTTGCTTTACAGACAGCAGTGGCCCTTCCAGCACCGTGTCCAGTGCCGGCCCTTCCTCTCCTACTGCAGTGGATGGAAACTCACGTTTTGGCTTCAGTGATCAGTCCTCTGTAAATACACATCTGACAGAAGAAAACCAAGACCTTGGGTTGCTCCAGGAGACCCCTGGAGGTGGAACACAAGAGTTCCCCGTAGAAAGACAGCAAAAGCTTGCTGAGCCTAATCAGTTTCCTCAGGAGACACCTGTGGAAATCCACCCTGTAGGAGGTCAGGATGTCACTAAGGAGGTCAACCAGCCATGCCAGGACATCCTTGAGGAGGTGGGTCAGCCTAACCAGGAGGTCCCTGACATCAGCCAGCTGTTGCTGAAGAACCATGACACTGCTGCCAACACGTGTCAGCCATGCCGGACCAGCCAACTATCTCAGAAGGTTTATGAGAAAGTCTGCCAGTGTTGTCAAGACAACCCTGAGGAGAGTAACCAGCTCTGCCAGGAAGTCTCAGCAGAGCTGGGCAGGATGGTCCATGGATTCCCTGTAAACACTGATAGAACGGTCCAGGAAACCCTTATGGAAATTAGCAGGCCAATCCAAGAGCTCCCCAAAGAGATCATCCCAGCATGCCAAGAGTTGTCTTTGGAGGTTGGCATGCTGGCTCAGGAGGACCTTGCTATCACTGAGTTATCTCAGGACATTCCTGAGGCTAGCAAACCATCCCAAGAGCTCCCTGAGGAGACTGATCTGCAGGCCCAGGAGGCCACTGAGGAGATTGACAAGGAGTCTAGGGTGGTCCCTAAGGTGGTTGATGAGCTGCCTAGTGAGGATATCTCCCAAGTTCAGTATCTGCCTAGTGATGTAAACACTGAAAGCCAGTCTCTGGCTCATGACCAGCACTCACCCTTTCCACCAGCAACATGTAATTAGTCGCTCTCTCATTGATGTCACACTCTTCCAGCCATTTGAGCCAGCAGCCTTTCTGTTGGGTAACACACAGAAAGAGCCCAGAGCAAGGCCCAGACTCACACCAGAGGTGTCTGAGGAAGTAGGCCTTTTGGCATGAAACATACTTCCGACAGAGCTTATGCCTAAGGAGGAGCCAATTTCTGTTCAGAGTAGCTACTGGCTCTTCACGTAGCCATGGAGTGGGAAATCGTAGATTGTTCAAGGAAATACCACTTAACTGATGAAGATACACTGAGAAACAGCAAAATGGAAGGTGGCAGCGTCTCTACGTGTTGAATGAAACCACCACCACCTTTTAAGGTACCTTCAGACCATATGTGCATTTAAGGAAGCTTTTGTTACTGTCACAGGCAAGCCCAGGATAGCCACCTGAAATGTCTGGAAAATAGAGTTCCCTTCTCAGAAACATCTGTCATGGCCACTTGTGGTTTAGACTAGGCTCATGGGTGTTTCCATATAATTGCCAAGTGCTCCCTCTGCCCCAGTCCTACTCCTGTGGACATGGACTCTAGAGAAAAGTAGATATTAGATTGTCATTCACCCTCAGAGTGACTGCTTGGAATGCTCTGAGAGATTTGCATCAGTCTCTGAAGCTAGGCCTCCTTTTGTTGTGAGGCTATTGGGCTTAGAAGATGCTGTAGTAGAGAGAATCAAGTTCTATTTTAAGCAATTAGCAGAGATCGATGTTGTACAGACATGAGCAAAGGTTTAATATATATATATATATATATATAAACATATATATTTCTATAATTTGCCAGGGACAGACTGGCCAAAGATCAAACACTCCAGGGTCCCCAAGAGGTTTGTCCTTACATCTTGTGTCTTTAGGACCATATGTGATTATGAAGCTTTTCCCAAAGATCTAGGGATGGGAGTGGGCGTGGGTAACGCAGTCATTGGAATCAGGGCCCGGAACATTACAAGTGCTCAATAAATACAAAATGAGTGCGAACAATGGGTTGGTGATGCCTTTGTGAGCTCAATGATGAATATGTAAGCCAATTGTATCTGTGACTGAATTAGCCAAAAACTTCTGAAGATGAGCAGGGACTGGCTTTAAAAACACAGAAGCCTGGCACCTCAGAGAGTCCCTGTAAGTGGCAAGTGCCAGTTGTTTTTAATGAGCAGAGTGTTGCGCAGTGTGATTGGAATAGATCTGAGCTCTGTGAAGCGTCAGAGGCCACCTGCCTTCCCACCAGCTCCTGAGAAACATCTTCTAATGCCTTACACTGGTGCCTTGGAGTGTGAGTCAGGGAGATGAACAGGTGATGCCAGGTCTCTGCTCTGTTGACATCTTCACACCGGGAAAGATAAGGGTACCGAGATGACTAGAAGATCCCTTTTCTATATACAAATTTATAACCTGACCACTCGTGACATACCTAAGACTAGAAAGGGTTAAGCGTAGCTTTCATCCACTGGACAGTAAGGGAAAAGGTTCAGTTTCCAGGGGCCCCATAGAATGCAGATTCCATTCCCTAAACCAAATGTTTATGTTCCCAGTCTCTGTTCCTGCTATAGGCTTCCACATTTTAAAACCATTTTCAGATTTTTTTTCTTGTTTTTAAATTTTTTTAAATTTTATGTGTATGGGTGTTTTGCCTGCATGTATGTCTGTACACTGTATGCATGTCTGGTGCCCAGACGCCAGAAACTGGAGCTCTGGAGATTTATAAGCTTCCATATGGGTCCTCTCTGAAAGAGCATCCTGTGTTCTTCATCACTGAGCTCTCTCTCCAGCACCTTGGTTTTTTTGAGACGAGGGCTCACTCATTATGTAACTCAGGCTGGCCCCAAACTCGCTGCCCTCAGTCTCCTGGTCCTACCTCTACCCTGAGTGTTAAGACCACAGACATACACCAGCACACCTGCTCCTTTTTAGAACCGATGCTGGTTCCCACATCACTTCCTCCTTTCACCCACAGTGTGTTCTCTGGCTCTCCTGGGTCCTGGGGTAGGTCTGAATAATCAAGAGTCTTCCCGGCTAAACAATGCTGACTGAAGCAGAGAGATGGACGCCAGGACAGCTTAACTATGGAGGCTGGCACAGCCTAAGCGGTACTACACCATCTGCAATGAACTTGATTTATTGTTAGCGTTGGAGGTGGCTGTTACAGCAGCCAGGATCTGTAGCAGGGAGGTGTGGGGAGGAGCAGAGCACAGCAGCAGGGGGAGGGGAGCTAGGAACAACATGAGGTGGGCTCCACTGGATTTCCCATTGGCTTGGCACAGAAGGCAAGCCCCAGGAACTATCAGTGTCTGGGTTTCTCAGTCCAGCAGGGTCGGGCAGGGCTGCTCACTGGCTTGGTTGGGGCGAGGTCCTGTAGTAGAATGCTTATCCTGTCACTCAGGAGGAGTTAAGCTATAGCTCATCTTCCTCTCTTCTTGCCCCTCCTCCTTCCTGTCCCCCTTCCTCCCAAGTTCTCTAAACCAGCCTCCACCTCCCAGAACCTCTGTCCAAGAGTTGGGGTTTGGAGAGGCAGCCAGTGCTCCCATTTCAGCTGCAGGATGGTAAAGGACTGGAATGTTGGGGAGTCACACGTGGCTAAAATGTTGGATGTGGATGTCAGGCAGTGGCTTATTTTTAACCCATTACACACCAGGCCATAGCAAATGACCACATGCAGAGAAGCCAAGCAGGGGATGAGGAGGAATCAGGGTTGTTGGAATGGGGTAGGTGAAGACTCTAAATGATCAGGGAGTTTGGAGGGATTGGGGCTGGGGCTCTCCTTGCCCTTTGTGCTGCCCAGGTAGCCTGGTCTGGGCACAGCCCTAGGTTGTAAATGGTATGAAGTGGGGGCTGAGAGATGAGCTCCTTTTTCCTCTCCCTAGTTCTTGGTCTAAAGAGCTTCAAGTTTTGGATTGAGACATTCAGCTATTGAGGGAAGCAATAAGACAATATAGCAGCCACATACCCCCAGGTCCTTGCTGGAACCTATACTCGAACCTATACTCTGGTAGCTAGGGCGTGGGAGATGAAGGAAAGGGCGCAGCTCTGGACACCTTACTAACAGTGGCCTTCCCTATAGCATATAAATTATTAGCAATCCTCTCTGGGATGCCAAATAAATAATAAGGTTTGGGGGAGGGGAATGTTAATCTTCCTCCATGAGAGAGGACTATGCTCTCTGAAACCCATCCTCATCCAAGACCAGCATTTGGCAGTGCTAGGAGAGGGCATTAATCTAGGGGTTTCAGGCCTCAGATGACCTCTCATAGTTTTGTATTCCCCCCTCATGAACCTTTGGTCTTGAAATCCCCAGGAACAGATGAGGGGAAGGACAGTAACCTCCCATTTAGCCCAAGTCCTCATGACGTTGCCCCCGCCCAGCTCCATTTCCCTCAACCCCCAAAGGACTCAGCAGTAGCCATTCTCTAAATGAGCTGTAGGAGTGGGTCCTGGGGAAGGGAGGGTGGGTCTCTCAGAACTCAATCTTGCAGGCTGGAAAGGACTCGTCCTGCATCACCACAGTGCTGCTGCTTGCCAGGACCAGGACGTTCAGTTGCTGCTGTTGCTCATGTGTCTGCTGGTACCACTCACGAGTCACCTCCGTGTCATGAGTGGGAATCAGAGTCACCTAAGATGAAGAAAACATGCCTGTGGTGAGAAGGTGAAGGAAAGATAAATGAGGGGGAAGGGAAACCTGACGGTCTCAACCTGACAGTCCATAGAAAGGACCTTGACCGTTGTGAATAGGGGCTGTGTTCTACTCTTGCCTCTGACAGGGCTTTGTCCAGCATTCTTCCCTTCTGTCTCTTGCTACTTACCTGAAGGTTCTCCCCCCACTGGGCCTTGCCTTCCAGCAGGGCATCCAGCACGGCCCGACTTGGCTCGCCATTGGCAGGGTCATTCCCACTGACCACATAGTAGGATGCACGCACTCGGCGGAAGAATCCCAGATCAGCCGTCTTGCCGCTGCAGTGATTCGGGATGTAGGCAAGATCTACATACACGGGAGGGCCGGAACCACCTTTGGAGCCTGAGGCTGCTGCAGAGGCAAGCAGGATGTGTTGTAAAAACAAACAAATCTTGGTCATCTCCCCACTTGCTTGAACAGCTGAAGCCTTTAGCTAGCCCACACCTACTCCAAGCCAGCGTCTCCCACTCCCCTGATATACTCACTGGAGCCTGCCTTGAGTCCATTGACTAAGCCTCTGGACATGGGGCTGTGTCCATCCTTTTCTTCTGCTGAGGTGACCTGACTTGGAGTGCTGCGTGGTCGGGGTAGGGCCCGGGCTGTTCGATCTACAGGCCCTTTGCCGGGGGTAGGTGACCGTTTTCCCCGAATATCCAGACGCCGAGCAGGAGATGCAGGCTTGGCCCGGCCCGGGGCCCTCCGCCCTAGTCGCCCCTGCCCTTTTTCGCGTAGTCTCTCAACCCTCCCAGACTCTGAGCTGAGCCCTTCTGGGTCAGCCATGCACACATCCGGTCGAGGAGGGGATGGGCGGGGGTCTGGTTGGGGGACTGGGGGTGGGTCGTGGCCAGGTCTGGGGTGGTGAGTTCCACTAATTCCCCCAGCTTTGTCTACAGGCAGGAAGTCCCCATCTTCATCTGAGTCGAGGGCTGCTTCAGCCGTAATGGATGGGCACTCCTCAGTCTCTGGTGGGACATCAGAATCTGACTGTGAGGAGCCTGAGTCACTGCCTGATGTAGGGGGTGTTTCGTCAGCCATAGGGCACGGGCCCCCTGTGGGCCCTGGCCTCCCGGCCCGGCGCCGCCCTCCTTTTCCTACCAGCCGAGCTTCTTCAGTTGAAAGGTCACTGTCATCTGTGGTTGGGGGTAGAGGTGGGTTCAGGAATGACGGAGAAAGCTCTCCACAGCGGGGGCGGGGCTCTGTAGCACATCCCTGAGGTCCAGACTCAACTTCAGGAGAAAGACTGCGGGGTGGACCCCCGGAGCTCTTCAGCGGCTGCTCAGATGAGAAAAGTGTATCCGGCCGGGAGCTCCTCTCAGCTCCCTCGGGCCAGGACCCTCGTTCCCAAGCAGGACAGGCCTCAGCCTCTTCTTTTTCTGCCTTGGCTGTGGCAAGCCCTGGTGGCTTGGGGCTGGTTTCTCCTGGGCCATTGGTGGCGCGATCTCCAGAGGGGCTATCGAAGGGGCTTGGCTTCTTGGTGAGTTCCCCTGAGCACTCCAGGTGGCAGGGCACGGTAGCTTCATCCATGTCTCCAGGCAGGCTTGGAGCTGGAGCCAAGTCCAGTGAAGCTACAGGTGCTGGGCTCAGAGGAGTGAGGTCCCAGAGGCTGTGGGCAGCTGGCGCCATTCCTGGGCCCAATTCTCCAGACCCCTGTTCAGCAGCCTCTAGACCTGGAGGGAAGCGTTCAGCCACGCTTGAAATGACAGGTGTGGTAGCCTCAGAAGATGACCCTTCAGACAGGGCTGGTGAGGCAGGTCGTGGCAGATTGGAGAGGAGAGGGGCCCCAGGAGAGCTGGGTGACGGGAGTTGGGGGAGTGAGGAATCCAGGCTGGGTGCCTTGCTCACTTCTAGGTACTCATCATGTCGGGTTCTGGTTGGAGTTCCTGGAACCAGGGCCAGAGCTCGGTCCCCAGAGAAGGCAAGGGAGCCACAGGGGGCCGAGCGGGGTTCAGCCGGCGAGGGCAGCTGTGGGGGCGCAGGCTGCAAGGAGGAGAAGCCAAAGGCTGAGGCAGGGAAGTCCAGGCTTGGTCGGGCGGGTCCTAGGTGCGAGTCTGAGGAAAGGCTGGTGTGTGCCTCAGTTTCAGGCCACAGTGAGGGGTGGCCCACTGGCATGGGGTGCTGGGGACTTGGGGACTGGGCTTCTTTCTCTGGCTGTTCCCGAGCCCCCTTCTCCAGGTCTGGGTCACTAGTACCATCATTCCAGTGACCCCGGCCCAGTTCTTTTGGGGATGGGGTCCTCCTGTCTGGGCTACAGCTCACTGTGCTTCCATTAAGAGGGGGGCTTGGGTCTTTGCTGAGGGAGATAGGGGCACGAGGGGGCACTGCCGGAGGGGTGAGGCTGGACTCCACGTTGGGGACTGGCTCAGGCTCTTGCCTAGGAGGTACAGTGGGTCCTGCCAGAGCAGCATAGCTGAAAGATGGAGTGTCATATTGTAGGCGTTTAGGTGAGACAGGAGAGGAAGGCTCCTTCTCTGAGGGCGTATGGCGGCCAACAGCCTCCTCCTTGGTTGAGAGGCGTGGGGGCCAATCCCCAGGTGCCCCCAGTGGCGGCTCCCTAGTGGGGCAAGCAGGGCCCAGCCCAGTAAGCATCATCTGCTCGTAGATGTCTGCATACTGAAAGCTTCTCTCATCGGGGTAGGGCGTGGGCTCCCTCTGCTCCGGTTCCGTCTCCTCAGTATCCCTGGTAGTGCTGCTAGCCTCTGGGACTTTTGAACCGAAGGTGCTGTTGTCAGGAGCCCCAGCCCCACCCTCCCCTTCCCTTTCCCCTTCAGCTTTTCGATAGTCCTTCCCCAGGGGGGAGTACGGCCCACCTTCCAACTCAGCTGCCCCCTCCTGCACCGCAGCCACCACACTGTCATACTCGGCTATGCCCCAGGAGAAGGGCACAGGAGTGTGTGGTTCTGGGGCAGGTGTCGGGGGAGCTGGAGCTGGAGTGAGGGGTGCAGGAGGCAGGGGTCTATCCTTGGGTACCCACGGTGGGATCTCAGCTAGCCAGGAAGGGGTGGTAGGTTCATTCCTCAGAGGTGGTGCAGGCTTAGTGTCTGGGACAGGACTTTCTTGTCCTGGGGCTGGAGGAACCCTCTGTCCAGTCATCTCTGGTGGAGAGGATGGAGGGGAGATGATCTCAAAGGGGGAGCGAGTCAGCTTGTCCTCTTCCTCTGGCGGCAGGCCAACTGGCGACTCAGCAAGCCAGCGCTCCACCTCTAACCCCTTCTGGGGCAGGGGCTCCTGGAAATCCTTGAAATCTGAGGCCCAGGGACTCCGGGGAGTATGCTGCAATGAGCTCGCTTCTTGTTCCTCTGCCCCCTCATCAAGAAAAGTACTTTCACGTTCCTCAGAGTACCGTGGACGGGCTCCTTGGCCATCTAACTCGTGAGGGAACCAGACCTTTCTCTCGCAGCTTAGCTCCCTCCAGTATGCATCCTGCTGCAGGCTTATGTCTCTGTCCCTCCAATACCTGACTTCTTGCTCAGGAGACTTGCCCTCCCAGGCTGGAACAGGCTCTTTCTGTCCTCCAACTGGCTCTTCTCTGTCTGGAGATGTTTCTCGCCATCTATGGCCCACATCCACATCCTCCTCCTCCTCCTCCTCCTTCCAGTATTTCTCTTCCTGCTCTTGAGCCTTGCCTCTCTGTACTGGGCTCTCTTCCAGCCCCAAAGATCTGGTCTTCTCCAGGACAGTTTCATCCTGCTGCTCCACAGCCTTGGCCTTTTCTGGAGTCTTCTGATCAAGGATTGTCTCTTTCAGTGTTGTGGTTTTATCTTCCAGGAAAGAGCTCTTCTGCTCCTTGTCTTCTTTTAGGGTCCCATCTTTCTGTTCAGCAACCCTGCTCTCTTGGTCCAGGGCAGCACCCTGCTTCCCAAGGGCCCAGTCTTTTTGTTCCAAGACCTTGCCTTTCTCTTCTGAGGCCTCATCCTTCTGTTCTTTATTAGCCTCACTTTTCTGTTCAGGAGCTCTCTGTGTCTGTGTTGGTTCGGGGATGATGTGCTCTGGAGTCTTGCCTTTCTGTTCTAATATTCTGTCTTTCTCTTGTGGGGTCTTATCTTTCAGCTCTACAACCTTGTCTATTTTTCCTAAATCTCTGTGCTCTTGCTCTCTAGCTTCTGGCTCAGTGGTTTGGGTCTGTTGCAGGTCTGTGCCCTTTTGTTCTGAGGCCTTGTCCTTCTCTGCTGGGACCTGGTCCTTTCGCTCTAAGTCTTTGTCTTTGGGTTCAGGACCCTTGTCCAGCTCTACAGCCACATCCTGTTGGTCCAAGCCTCTGCCTTTCTGTCCTGAAGTCTCACCCTGCTGTTCTCCAGGCTTGCTTTTTTCATCTAGAGCCCTGTCTTTCCGATGCGCGACTGAGTCCTGCTCAACAGCAGCAACCTTCTCCTGCAGAATCTGGCCCTGCTGGAGGGGCTCATCTTTCATCCCGAGTTCCTTTTCCTTTTGCTTGGCAGTTCTGTCTTTCAGCCCTGGAGCTTTACTTTCCCATTCCATGGCAAGGTCCTCCATGGCAGGACTTGACAAAGACTCAGGACTCTTGGTGAGGGAGCTATCAGATGTCATAGCATGTCCAGCAGGGCCCATGACCTCAGACCCAGGTGAGGCTCTCTTATCACCTGATGGTGGAGAGTGAGAGAAAGGACTGCCAGGTAATTTTCCAGCAGGGCTGTCATCTGTGACATCTGCCTCTCCAGCAGCCTCCTCTGTGGGAGGTGACACTGCAGCAACGGGGGGCTCTGGAATAGACACAGGAGCCAGGTGGCAAGAGGTGTCTTCAGCCTTCATCAAAGGCCCCTTTTCTTCCTTTCCTAGGCTTAGTTCTCCAAACTGGAGGGTGCCGAGGCTTTCTGGAGAGAGCTGCTTAGAAGAGATATCCAGAGAGGTTTCCTTGCTAGGACTCTCTTCTGAGAAAGAAAGTGACTGGGTGTCCTCTGGGGATACCATTGGCCAAAGGTCTTTGTGTAGATGCTGCTCTTTCAGGCTACAGGGAGACCTGGACGTGGCTTCTTGTTTGGCAGTGTCTGAGGAGACTACACTGAGGACAGACAGGGACTCTGCATCTTCAGGGGAAAAGCTTTGATCAGTGAACCGAAGTACATCATCTCTCTGAGATTTACCAGGTTCTTCAAGCGGTGCGCTTGCTTCTCCAGGAAGGGTTCCTGCTCCTAAAATTGGACCTGCCTCTCCAGTCTCAAACACTACTGCTTTGTCTTGTTCTGGCAACAGCTGAATGGTGCAGCCGGCCTGACCCCCAACAATGCTGACAGGAGCATCCTGGGCTTGGGGGCTCTGACCCCCAACAATGCTGACAGGAGCATCCTGGGCTTGGGGGCTCCTGGAAAGAGGTGCTTTCCCCTCTTCTGGTATGCCCACCTCAGGCCCTGGCTTGACTGTCTGCTCTTCAGCATCTTCCTTGACGACACCTGGAGTATGCTTTGTGTCTCCCCAGGATTCTTCTTGAAAGTCTTGAGGCTCAGACTGTTCTTCCACTGGGGACTGATGAAAGGGTGTGTGGGTGGCACTGGGTGGGCCAGATGGTGGAGGAGATGCCATCTTCACTGTGCTGTCATCTGGGCTGAGGCACCGTTCCTCCACTTCTCCAAGGGCTGCTTCCCCTGGATGTAGGGCATGTCCAGGGACACCAAACACAGCAGCATACTGACTGGACAGTTTCTCGGATGCTGTTACATTTTTCTCTTCCTTTCCCACAGCCTTCTCCCCAGTCAAGCCTCTCCCGACAGCCTCTCCTTTCTTCTCTGACTCGCCGGGCACGGAGAAATCCTCACAGGGCGGGGACTTGAAGCCCTTATCTTCTTCCAGTGAAGAGGTGGGTGAGATGGTGCCAGCTGATGGCACATAGTCCAAGCCCTGAGTGGCCTCGGTGCGGGAAGAGGGGATACTTGTGACCGTGTCGAGCAGCAAGGAGCTCTTGCCTGTCTCCTCTGTCTGGGGAGCTGTGAGTGAGGCTGCAGACTGGTCCTCCGCTACTGATGTGGCAAAGGAAGAGAGCTTGTCGCATTCAGTGATCGATGTGGCGGAAGACACGTGTTCCTCTTCGGCCAAAGGGGCAGCGACCATGTTAGGGGGGTAGGTGAGTTCGGTCTCAGGTGCCCCGTAAGTTTTGCTAGAGGTGGCAGGAACAGTGCTGTCTGCAGCCTGGCTGGCTTCAAAGGGACCAGGACCTTCAGGCCCAGAGAGGTCATAGGTACTTGTAGGAAATCTGGGCGGGGCTGGGCGTTCGTCTGGCTCGTCATGGATCTCCTCATCTGAGATGGTCTGCTCAGTCTCTGAGTATCCCGGGATTGTCTCGTCCTGAATGTAGGAGACATGCTCAGTGGCTCCAGCAGGTGTGGCTAAGCTGCTTAGGAATGACGATGTCTCCTTCTCAGGCACCTTGCCCTGGGATCCCAGTTCCCGGCCCCCGAGAGCATCTCTGCTCTTTGGGATTACCTTTAAGGCCTCCTGCATATGTTTTTGATAAAAACTCTCAGCCTTTGTCTCTTCTTCATCCTCATCTGACGGGTGAGCCTCTTCCATTTCTTCTAACTCAGCCTTTTCTATCACATCCTCTTTTACCTCAGGTTCACTCTCGTCCCTGACCTCGGTGCTTTCTGGGATCTTCTCTGCCTCTCTCTGCTTCTTTTCCTCCCAGGTTTCTTTCTCTTTCTCTGTCTCAGCCCCTGAGTCTGGGGCTCTGCTCTTGCTCCCTGTATCCTTGGGAAGGTCTGGGACAACCTCGTTCTCTCTTATCACTTGTTCTTCTTGCTCAAGTCCTGGGATGGAGGGTTGTGCTGCCTGGATGGCCGTGCTTGGGGACCCCTGCTCTGTAGAATCTACAGGGAGTAGTTTCTCGCCTATATCCCTTTGTTCAGCCAGCAAACCTCTCTCCTCACGCTTCAACTCCTCAAAGTCCTGCGTGAGGTCCTCCGGTGAGGACAAGGCTGACTCTCTGTGCGCACTGACAGATGGGGCTGGCGCAGCCCCTTTCTGGGCTGGGGGAGTCCGGGGCTCAGAAGACAACTCTTTTTCCCCACGGGCAGCTCGGCCTTTGTCCATCTTGATCCTCCCAGGGGCCTTGGCTTTATAGAGGGTCTTACGGACCTCAGGGGTAAAAGGCTTCAGGTCTGGTTTGGAGAATTTCTTTACTTCAGGTTTGGTATCTTTCCTCTTTTCATCCTTCTTGGCATCCTTTTTCTCTTCCTTCCTTCCATCCTCCTTCTTGAGTTCCTTCCTTTCCTTCTTGATCTCCTTTTTCTCCTTGTCCTTTTTCTCCTCCAGCTTGGAGATCTTTTCTTTCAGGTGCTTCTTCCCCACTTTGTCCTTGATCAGCTTTCGCTTCTCAGCCTTCAGCGCTTCACTCGACTCTGTCCTTACCCTCTCTGGCTTGGAGGGTTTTTCTGGTGGTTTCTCAGACTGTTCTTTTCCTTTCTTTTCTGTCTTGGCTAACTCCTTGGCCAGCTCTGAGCGGGCCTCCTTGGCTCCCTCTTCTAACACTTCCTCCCGTTTGGCCAGCTTGCTCACGGCTGTCTTGGGAGCAGCTTTAAGGCTCTCCTTGCTGTCGGCCCGATGTTTGATTTTGCTGGGTTTCAGGTTGGTAGGCACAGCCCCAGCAGCCAGGTCCTTCTGTGTTGCCACAGGGTACCGCAGGAAGTCCAGGTGCCGAAGCTTTTCCAGGCCCTCCAAGATCTTGTTCTGGGGAGCATTTCCTGGGAAAAGCACACGCACAATCTTCTCAGTCGGGTTGGCTGGGAGCCAGACGACCAGAGCTGTGATGGAGGTCAGGTAGGGGACTGAGATCTCTGCCTCCTTCCCATTGGCCAGCACGATGCCTGTCTTGGCTTTACTATTGCCCGACCACTTCTGCATGAGGAACTGCATCTCCTTACTGTCCTTGACAGGGTTGAGGACATACATGTCCAGCCGACCCACACCCATTTTGTGGAAGAGGGTCAGTGGCTCAATGGTGTTGCTGACGACACGATAGAGAGGCTCGGCCTGGATGCCTAGGCGGTTCAGGTACTGAAGAGTGAGACAGGCCTCCTCAATGCTGCGCTTGGCCTTCCGGGAGGCATCAGGCAGCCGAAGCTTATCGGGCACGTTGAAGAATACAACCCCAAGCTCGGGGGAGATGAGGTTCTTCACCCAGTCGCTGTAGCTGCTGGAGCCTTGGGACTGCTCCTCCTCCAGCTCTGCCACCTTGCGCTGCAGGAGCCCGTTGATGCCCGGCAGATTGTCAGCCCCGATGTGTGTGAGCAGCACGGAGTCGATGCGGTCCAGGTGCCGTACCAGCTTCCAGAAGCACGACTTGCGGTCCGAACCCCCATCCACCAGGATGTTAAAGCCGTTGACAGCAAACAGAGCGGAGTCCCCACGGCCGCCAGGAAAGATGTAGCAGCAAGGCTTGGAGAGCTTGAGGAAGCCTCCGGAGGTCGGGGGTTCAAGCAGGTCAAACGGGGAGGGCACGTCCACAGTCTCAGAGACATACTCGGAGAACTCAGCCACACCATCCATGGTGGGCAACACAGGCTCAGGATTTAGCTGGAGGCGCAAGGTCTCTTGGCAACTGGACAATCCCAGGTGGCTCCACTCACCCTCCCCTAAGCAGGAAACAGTAAGGAAGGCCTGGATCCCAGGGTCTCTATTGCTGAGCAATTGGGCAATCTAGAGGAAGGGGAGAGAGAAGCTGATCAAGTCCTTGGGGTGGTCTTAGTCTGGCTCAGATTCAGCCACTTAATCTTTACCTGTTTCTGATGTAAAAGCCTAACCTCCTGTCAGGGTTCCTGAGGATCAAATACTACAAGACCTCTCCTTGCCTTTCTCCCCACAGTTTAAGCCCTACCCCCTGTCCCCTTCTTTCCAGACACTCTCCTGGAACTTACCTCAGGATTGTGAAGGACCCGGGCAAAGTTTTGATAAGAATAGGTACCACTCTGTAGGATAAGGTCTCCCTCCGGCTCTAAAGTTTGTCCACTCAAGATCAGAAGTTTGTGCGCTGATGGGCTACTAAGAAGATGGTGCACCTGAAATGGAAGAGGGTAGAAAGGGCACAAATATGGGGGACCGGGGGAAAGGCACTGACAATCCCTACCCCTCCCCTTCAGTGATATAAGGACATGTTCCTTACTGGTGGCCCCCCAGAGTGGGGCTGAGGATTACACTCAGCCCACACAGCAGTCAAGATCCAGCAGCAACGCAAAGGGTAGGTCGAAGCGCTCTGAACAAGCAAGTCATTGGCCCTGGCCTTACCTCTGAGCTGATGCTGTCTGCACTTGGGTTGACTAGGATGGTGCTCTCTAGGGTCTCACTCTGGTGGCAGAGGGTCCTCTGGCCTGAGGGAGAGATGTAGCATTTGTACTGAAATTCATAGATATTGACTTAAAGTGAGAAGCACTATGAGGGGCAGGAGAAGGAAAAACAAATGACCAGAGGTTAAGGACCAGAAGCCGAGTCCTGGTTAACTTTAGACCTTGCCATCTAGGATACCACTAAGTAAGGTCTAAGAACCATCTCCCCCAGCCCTTCCCATTCAGTTTTTTCCTCCTCCATCGTCTTCCCCACAGTAACTAACTTCTCCCTTTCCTCCATCTGCTATACTCTCTGCTGCCCTGGCCCCACCCTTTTGCCTAGAACTTCAGCCCCAAACTGCCCTGTTGACAAGAAGCTTTTTGTCCCTCTGGAGCACTGAGTTCCTGGCGCTGCCTGGGGAGGGGGGAGGGGGTAGTGGCCTCAGCTGGAGGGAGGGCTCCTGGGATGCCGGTCTCTACTGAGCTCTCTTTGCCTTTGCCCGTGGCCAGTGGTAAGGCTACCCCCCTGTCCCCCCAGAGTGGGGCTGAGGATTACAGGTTAGCTCATATAGCAGCCAAGATGGAGCTGCGGCACCACAAAGGGCGGGCTGTAGCATCGGCATGAGCAAGGTGTTGGTCTTGCTTGCTCCCCCAGCCAGGGACATAAGTCCTGTTCTACAAGACCATGGAGACATGTGACAATCAGTTCTTGGAGTGGACAGAGAATTCTAACTTGCCATTCTGTTTTCTGACTTTGCCAAACCTTCAGGTAGACCCATGTAAACCATTCCCAAGTGTTTCTCAGCTCACTGTCCTATGTCACCTTCAGGTATGCAGGCTTCAGAAACACTAGCTCACTGCCCAATTTGTTCCTTGTGAACAATGTCTTGCCTCAGCCTGTGGATATAGGAGGTAAGTGGTTGGGTTGGTTCAAAAACAGGAAACAGGGCCAGTGATGCTCTCTGCCAAACCTGACACTGGAGTTTGATCCCTAGGACTGGAGGTGAGGCGAGAACCACATCCTGCAAGGTGTCCTTTGACCGACCTATACATGCTCACACACACACACACACACACACACACACACACTACACGCACACACACAATAAAAACAACAGCAAGCTGGGCATGTTGGTGTACGCCTTTAATCAGGAGGCAAAGGCAGGTGGACTTCTGTGATTCAAGGCCAGCTAAGTTCCAGGACAGCCAGAGCTATAGAGAATTCTGTTCCAAAAAAAACCAAACCAAAAATACCACCACCACCACCAACAGCCAAGAAACAAGAAGATGACACCCCCAGATCCTCTTCCCAGGGCTTTCTCCAGACTCACACAAAATACAGTGAAAGTAAAAAAAGTGAGACAGATGCTAAAGAAGTGTGTAACTAACCTTCCAGCCTCCCTCCTGCCTGCCTTCCTCCACATCCATCATGGTTGCAGTCACAGTAGGGTTAATCTTAGAGGCAGCTGGAGGATACCGGGAGGGGAGGCTCATAGTCTGTTCTCTGAGCCCTCTTCTGGGATTCCAGACTCCCTTTTCTTTCTGAGGCTAGGACAAGGGTGACTGGGGCCAGGGCCTTTGTTAAGAGGAAGAGCCTCAGGCCAGCCAGGCAGCAGACAGGCTGTGAATGCAGCTGTGGGGGAGATGAGGGTTTTGGAGACTCAAATTCTATACAGGGAATGTTGGGCCCAAGAGGAGTTCAAGGGTCCTCTTCAATGAACTTGGGGATTGATGGATTCTTTGAGGTCACCTCAGGGCCAGGCAGGGCAGGGTTTGAGCAGCTGGGGATATCAACCTCCTGCGCCAGTTAAGTAGTTCAGATTTAGGAGCCAGGGCTCCCCAACACAAACAAGGTCACACTTTCAATCTAGGTGGAGCAGAAAGAGCTGTCCTTTCCCGCTACCATTTTCACTCAGCTCCACTCCGCAGCTTGACAGCCCCCAGTGTATCCTCATGAGACCTCTGATCCCACTTCCTGTCCTGACACAAGACCCCAGCCCCATCCCTGGGAAGCCAGTCCATTAGGTGCCGAATCCCTGCTCCGCCTGGGGGAAAGCTCTGTTCCTCTTTTCTGCTCCCCAGCTCTTCCGATGAAAGAGACTGCCTTGATTTTCCTTTATCTTTACAGAGGACTCTCCGTGGCCATTGCTGTGGTGGGGGTGGCCTTCTGGTGTGAAGCTGAGTGGGCAGGAGGGCAGGTGTCTCCGCAGTGAGGCAGAAGGTTGTGGGGGGGGGGGTGCTCAGGCAGCTGCAGTTTGCCGCAGTGTGTGAGTGTGTGTGAGTGTGCGCGCTGAGCTCAGCCTCCAGCTCCGCCCCCACCCCCCACCCCAGCATGACAAGTCATTTTCTTGGCTGCCTCTGCATGGGGGTTGGGGGGTAGAGATGGGGGTGCCTACAGGGAGGAGAAGAAACTGTCTTCTCTGCTGAAGAGCCCCCATCCTGGGGGGGGGGGGGGGAATACACAGATGAGGTGAGGGTGGGGCTGAGACAGGGAACCCATGGGGTTGACAGGACCCGGAATGCGGGGCAGCTGCTGAAGAGCTAGTGCTCTCAAGCTCCCGAACGGCCTCAGAGAGGCCACAAAGGGGGGCTTAAAGCCCCAGGCTCAAGCTGGCCTCGGGGAATGGGGTGGGAGAGCCAAAAGCAAACCAGTTCGCCTGTGAGGAGGCACATGCCACGTCTTAGTGACCCATTCCTTCCAAAGTGTAACCCACCTTCCCTTACTTGGCAAAAACTCAGCTGCCCCACGCACCCCAGAATAGGCACCGCAGAACAGTCTAGTGGCTGATAACCCAAGGACCCTCCTAGTAGGCAAATTCCCCCTTCCTCTCAGATTCTTCTGTTTTTTCTTAAAGACATAGCCCCCAAATTCCTCCTGTGCCCCGGCTGCCAGGCAAAGCCTGTGGCACCACCCTCTGTTGCTGCCTCTCAGCTGGCGGTCCCCACCCCCACCTAGTAGAGAGGTACACTGTCACAGCCCCTGTTGGTACTGCTGGCTCTGGATCCGAACTGAACCCTAGTCCGTAATGTTCACCTCCTCTCTCCCTCCATCCCAGGCAGCCTTCCCACCAGGCTAGCTCAGATCCAGATGCATCAGATGTATGAGGTATCAGCTGCCCCCATCCTAACTCCCCATTCCAGCACCCCCATCCGTCTGCCATGCCATGCCATGCCTTCCTTACCCTGGGGTGTGGGAGGGAGCCCCTCATGGAGGCACCGGCTCCGGCCTTAGCCGGACAGCTTCAGGGAAGAGTCTGCGGCACTTGGGGTGGGAGTGAGGGGGGGCTGCTTGACGGGGAGGGCGGTGCCAGGGCGGGGAAGAGGGGCTGGTCTGTGACGAGGCACTGGAGATTTAACTGTTTCTTGGCCTTCACAGTGTCAAGGTTCCGGTGTTCCTGCGTGGCTATGGGAAAAGGGACTGTCTAGCAGTTCAAAGAGCCAGAGGGACCTCCTACAGCTCTGAGTACCTTCTCCCCAAATCCTGTTTAGTTAAGAAATACTCTCTCAGCATCAACTGAAGGACCAAAGCCCCACACACTGGGGCACAAAGCCAGCTCTTAGGAGGCAAGGGCCTTATGGGCCCTCCCCCTTCCTCTTAGAAACCATCTGCTGCCTCTCCCCTTGGAGGGACCCAGAGAGTGACCTTCAGTCACTGCAAGAGCAGGAGACAAAGAGGCTGGGGGGCCATAAATGGAGGGGAGCAGTGTGAGGGTGGTGCGTGATGTGGTGAGATGGACCCTGTTTTGAACCACAGCAATAGGAAACGGGAAGACAAAAATACATCTCATTTTACGTTAGAGGGCAGTGTGAAATTCTGAAGCTGTCCCCAGCCCGCTGGGGTGGGTCACAGGACCCCGGGAGTTGTATGCAGATCTGGGCTACTGCAGCATGGCTCTGAGGGCTCCCACACACCACACCGCGGCTGTCAGAAGTCAGTGTCAGAAGGGTAAGGGAGGCTTCCGCCTTTCAGTGAAGGAGTTAACAAGGACCCGGGACCATCGCCAGGAGCCCAGACTCAAGCAAAGCTTTCTTACTATAGACCAGTCTGATATAAAGTACTCTTTGGGTTATGATGACTCTGTTGGGTGTTTGGATCCTGACCTCGTCCCTTCCTCGCTGTCGCTTTGCTGTGTCTGTCTTACTTGATCTTGAACCTTCGTATATTGACCTTGTGTCCTTAGTCTCTGCCTCAGACTTGGCTAAGTGTTCCAAGATTCAAAGGAAAGATCCGGAGAGCTGGAGCGAATACTCATCTTGCCTGTGATGTTCATAGTCTCACATCCTGCCCTCTCCTCATTAACCCTCCCTGGGTGTGGTCAGCTCCTTCCGCCCACTTGCTGGCCAGCCCCAGCCCCACCCTTGCTCCAGGCTGTCAAGGACTGCTTTTGAAGGTCAGAGAAGCCAAAATAGTCTCTGCTTTCAGCACCCCTCACCCCCACCCCACTTTAGCTAGAGCTGAGTCACCAGTGCTCTGGGGAACAGAGGGAGAAGAACCCTTGTTTGGGATCTGGGATGCAAAGCAGCAACATGGCTATATCCCCATTTGGATAGGAGAGGCCATCTGCACAGACAGGCACACAGGACGTAAACCAGGCTCAGTCTGGATCACCAGGGGGTGGTACCCTCCCTTCTGTAACTTCAGCGCTTTTATTTCATTCTGCCTCCAGCCTCCTGTCTTCTCTCTGCTTTTCAGGGCTCTCTCTCAGTGTTGGAGGAGGCACAACTCTCCTAGACATTGGGCTTGAGAACAAAATATCATTTCCCAATGGAAAGCAGAGCCCACCTTTCTTCTCAACCACATACCCCCCCCACACACACACACAACTTGGACATGGTTCCTGGTCACTCGTGTTTTTTTTTTCTCTCCCCATCTCTAAGCAGCCTCTGTGGCAGTGAGCCCTTAGCCCTTAATCCTGCTCTCCTGAAGTGAAATGGTGCCATGCCAAAGCAGAGAGGGAGGCTTGAGTAGCCCCTGATCTCACACCTGACGCCACTGCCTGAACCATGCCACTGAACAAGTCAGTCAGACAACCTCAGAGCTTGCTTTCTGGACTAGCAAATGCGTATATTAGAGCCACCCTTTAGCTATGCTGTGAGGACTGTCTTCACCTGAAGAAAAAGTTCCCATTACTGCCTAGAATCCTAACCTTACAATGTACACACAACAGTATTTCTCTCTGTAGAAGGTTTCAGAATGAGTACCCTAAATCGGAATCCCAGACCAGACTAGTCCTGGGGTACTCTAAGGTCTCAGGCAAAACCAAAACGGAAGATGCTTACAGAATGAGGCTCGCCTTCTGAACACCTCTCTCTCTACCTTCCCGTTGCAGGGAACAGCGGAACGCTTTAATGCAGGGTCCTCTCAAAGACAGAGGGACTCAAAGGGGCTCCTCAGCCTTCTCCTCTCTAACCCTCTCACCTCTCTCCAGCTCTCCACGGTCTCAGGAGCCCAGACTGGTCATGGACTTGCCATGTAGCCCAGGATGATCTTCTGCCTCTACTTCCCAAATGCTGGGACTACAGGCTTGTGCTGCTGCACCGGGCTAGCTCATGCTTCTTAGTCTTAGAACATTAATTCTCCCTTTCCGATGGGGGCTCAGTAGCATGTGATGATGTATCAGTGTGTTAGCCCACCATCCCCTACCCCGACCCCTGTGGATCCAGGACCTTCTGCATGCCAGGTGGGCACTCCACCTGGGGTTGTACCCCAGGCCTTAAGCTCCATTTTCAATTACCCTAAGGTTTTTTTTTTTTCTATTGTGTTAAAAACGCTTAGAAGATTGGGGGATTTTAAGGGAGGAGGGGGAGCTATAAAAGGAAGGCCCCAAATCTGCTGAAGAGTGATAAGAAAGCTACCCTTTAAAGCTTTTTACCAGGCTTGACCACTAGAAGGAGCTGGGCTCTGAGAGCCCCTTTTCTGTTGGGGTGGGGTTATAAATGTAGAGGGGGTGGGCCCTAGGAATAACTGAACTCTTGCTGTCATTGTAAGAGGTACTTTGTTCCTGCATTGTTTTGGCTATGGTGGTCTACCCTATGAAGTAAGCTAAAAAAGTCAAGCAAGCCATGAGGCATTTAGTGTATCTCCATGAGCTCACCCCAGCTTTTGGTTACCTTAGCCTGTTCACTCTAAGGAGGCTGGCTGTGTCTGCAGCTGCTTTAAGCAGACTGCGTGCAGGGACAGCTGAAAGAGAAGCCAGCAGGGGTGGGGCTGTGGCTAGGTGGGGGGGTGTTGTTGTTTTCCAGGAAGTCCTCCACTGTTCTCCAGGGACAGAGGCCACGTTGAAAATGTCTAAACCTAAAAATCTCTATGCTAAAAGTAAGCCCTGCTGTTGGGTGGATGCCCCCAAGCCTCTGGAAGACGCTGTAGCAAAACTCTGATTGAAGAATTTAGTAGGTATTTCGGTACCCATGCTTGTTTCTGAGAAGTGCCCGGGAATATGACTCTCTGCAAACCTCTTCCCAAAGCAGTCCCTTCATCCTAATCTGAAGAACAGAGCAAAGGACTTTGCCTTAAATTCTTATATTACTCAAAGCCCCTATGGCCAAAAGGACAGGGTTAGAGAATTCGGTGTGAATTCCTAACAAGAAATAACCCCTAAACGGCAGTGATTAGCTTAATCCTCTGCAGTCCCTTTAGTCAGTCTTGCTTCTAGGCGAGTTATGTGCTAAGACTGTCTTTTGGTCGTTGGGAATAAAGGACAAGTGGGTAACTTTTACGGGAAGCCAGTTGCAGCAGGGAGATGCCAGCTTCACGTGTTTTTGTTTTTTTAGGTTGCTGTACATACACTGTGTGTAATGGAGCTTTAGTGATGTTAATCTAAATCATTTTCTCCAACTTCTCAGCAGCAGCTCCTAAAAAAAATTGATGAGAAAATGACCAAAGTTCTGCCTGACCGGAGAAGCAGAAAGAGGTGATCATCTTCTGTACATATGAATTCTGTTATTTGAGGACAGTGACTAGCTCCATGAAATTCATATTCTATAAAACTTCATGGCAGCAGACGTGGTGGTGCATGCCTACAATCCTACCACTCAGGACATAGAGGTAGGAGGATAACAAGTTTGATACCATCCTGGACTGTATATCAAGTTTAAGATCAGCTTGGACTATATAGTGAGACCCTGTTTTTCAAAAAAGAGAAAGTTGCATGGATTGGTGTGTCAACATTTACAATAATATGACCCGATGCCCAACACCTTTATCAAAAGATATAGGACTTTCCATACTCTCTCTGTAGACATCTGTCATAGATGCTAATTAAAATCTTACCTCCCATTTATAGACTACTTCTCCCACCCAGCAGAACTGATCTTGGAACCAAGCCTCAAAAATCCAGGAGACCTTCGTCCCAGCCTGGATCTGAGGGTGGTGATCTGATCAGCCTTTGGTAGCAGCATTCTGCTCTGCTCTGAAGATCTGCTGGCTAAGCCACGAGGAAACAGAAAATGAATGCTGGAGGGTGGACAGTGAGAGACAAGGGTCTGGGAAGGTGAGCGAAGCATTCTGGGATGTCTATAAGGGGAAGCAGGGAGGCTGTGTTATACACAGAGGAGCACACATAAGAAAAGCCTGGGTTTTTGCTTGCAAGTGATTTGATCACTTTCTCAGCGCTTGCCAACAACAATCATCCTGACAAAATTATGATCCGCCATCATATGGTATGCTTGGAGCAGGTACTGGGTATTATCCACAGCATGAAGATAGCTTCAGAGCCAGCAAAAGTCCCTCCCTTCTTGCCTACCCAAACTTCCCGCAAGGCCAGTTCTGCCTGGATACTGGACCTCTCCTTTACCAGCCCACACCCAAAGAACTGAGACGAACGATCCTAGTCCTAACCTTTGACCTCTGAGGAGAAGTGAGCTAGGTGCCGGGTAATGAAGAGTTTCAACTGTTGGTCCAAGTCAAAGGACGATAAGTCAATGTTCCAGGAGAGAATCCCTGTGGAAAAAGAAGAAGAAGAAAAAAAAAGAGGGTTGCAGGCAAAGTCATCTCGTAGGACCGCAAGAAGCACTGACAAGCTCCCGGAAGAGGAAAGGGAAGGGAAGTGATACCCTCTAAGATGGATCCCTAGTGCCTATGCGCATCTCTCAACCTTCTTTTTCCCCTTTGTGGGCACCACAGGGCAACGAGCAGAGTTTAGGCTGAATCTGGTAATGAATGAGCTCGTTTGTAGTCTTTATTTTGTTTTTCGAGGCTGTCCAATTATGGTAGAAGTGACACCCAAGAGTCTATACCGTAGGTTTCCATAATGATTCCTCTTGCTAAATTGGATTCCAGATCCTCCCATGCCCCGCTCCCTCACCTCCGCCCCTCCAAGAAGGCTTGCCTCCGCCCGCAGGTGGCTCCGCAGCACTGCGCCACAGCACAGCTGAGGGAGGTGAGCTGAGGAGCCACGAAGGTCACTCTCTCAACTTGCCTACCAGCATTCAGAGGTTTAAGATGCGCACCCTGCGTTCAAAAAGCTCCCCTAAAGAAGAAACTGTAAGGTAGGGACGTGGACTTTTCAGGGTTTACTGAGGACTTTCAGATACCTGGTGGAGATGCTGCGGGAAAGGGGTGTGACCAGAGGGATCCCAGGGTCTGCACTAAGACTGCGGAACAGCACGGGGTATGCGGGGAGGGTGGGAAAGCAGGACGTTGGCAGCTCAAGGGAACATAGACACATGCGTGGAAGATGCAGGTGACAGGGGCGCAGGTCTCGGGAAATGCACATAGAGATGGAGGATACAGAAGTGTGCACCGGGAGATGAATGCAAAAGGCAGAGAGGCACGGATAGAGTGCTGCGGGACAGCCAAGACAGTGGCTCACCTTGTTCTAGGTGGGCCCGCACGGCCCTCAGCTGACTCTCTGTACCAATATCGCCGATCACGATGAGCATGGAGTATTTCCGCAGGTCCCAGCGCGCCGCCGCCACCGTGGCACCGGCCCCGCACAGAGGTTCCGCGGGCTTCTGAGCCGGCGATGTGCCGGGGCTCTGGAGCCCCAGCTCCCGAGTCGTCTCCATGGCAACGCTTCCAGGCCGCGCGGTCCCGGCCTCGGTCGCCATGGAAACTCCCGCGGAGTGCTAGGCTGGCTGCGTCCGCTGCGGGGAGAGTGCGCGCCGTTCTTAAAGGCCGGCGGCAGGAGCCGCTCATTGGTCGCTGCCTGTCTGAGGGCGGAGCCAAAGCGCCGCAGGGGCGGGGCCGGGGTGTAGGTGCCGTTCCTCTGCACCGCTCCGCGCTGGGGTGGCGGCTGCAGTCACCCACCTGCAGTTTTCCTGACCAAGTTTACCCCCTCCGGCTTGAGCTGGGGTAGGACTTAGCAGAGGGCCTCTGCTCCACGGCCTCCCCTCGAGAACCACATCTAGTTAGGTTGTGTCTGCCTTGAGCACTGTATGTGGCAGTTCCACAGCCTCTCCCAAACCACGGGGAGCCATCTTGCCCCTCCCTGTCTCGAAGTTTCTATCGTGGTCTCCCTCTGGCTATTCTCGATGTCTGGATTTTTTTCCCCCTTCGCTGCCTGCCAAGATCTTGGTCACCAGCCCTGGGTTTCTCTGTCCTTGTGCCGAGCTCTGGGCGTGGTCAGGCAGGCTGCGCAATATTGGAGGGGACGGCATGACCTTCCTGCCCTGAGTCCCTGGTGAGTTGTTATTCCAAGGATAGTGGTTGGCTAGTCTCCATCTCTGCTGAAAGCAGTGAGGTCAGACTGCAGCAAGGAGGATTTGAGTAAAACCCAGGAAAGAACTTCCGGACTACTAGTGACGTGAGACAGTGGATAACCTTAGGAGACTGTGTAATTACTGTACAGAACTGTATTAATATTCTATTTTCCCCTCTCTCTCTCCTCCTCTTGGTCCTACCCCACCCCATTCCTCAACGTGTCTCCACCACTACAGCATGCCTTACCCTGAGTCATTCCGTTGTATGTAGCAGGCAGAAGGCCTGTATTTAGGCTCCAGCTACGTTTGCTTTTTCCTCCATTTACCTTGCACTCTGGAGACGGTAAAAGAGGGGGCTTCGGAGATGGTTCAGTTGGTAAAGTGCTCCCCTTGCAAGCATAAGTTCAGATTCTCAGAACCCTAAAACGCACAGTGGTGTGCGCTTGCGACCCCAGAGAGGGTGAGGTAGGAGGGAGAGACAGGTGGATCCTGGAAGCTTGCTGGCCTGCTAGCCTAGCCTATTTGGTGAGGCCCCAGGCCAATGAGAGACCCTGATGTCTATATCTCTCGGAAGTAAAAGGTCTGAGGAACAACACTCCAAATGGTCCTCTCCCAGTTACATGCACACATGTTTGAAATCTCTCTCCCCACAAAGATAGGAAAGAGTGATAATTCCTGATAAAACAAGGCTGCCAATGAGCCCCTTTCTGATTGTTAAGTACCTCACAGAAATCCTATCGCAGAACATGTTATAGCTAACCAGCCAGTCCGTACAGTAAATAGCCTGGATATGGCCATGAAAATCCTTTTTTGTGGCAGAGACAGGAAAACAGTGCTGTCAGGACGCACATCAGATGGCTGGGCGCCTCTTCCCACCCGCAGCCAGTTGCAGACCTGAATCTGTAAAATGGCATGGGAAAACGTGCAGTCCCTTTCCTACGGCAATCATTAAGAGTAGCACATTGAGCAGGGAGCCAGAATGGATTGTGGGGAGAATCGGGGGACAGTTCCCATAGCAACCGTAGAGCCAAGCCTTTTAACTAGCAGAGGGTCTCCGTATGAGGGACAGCAGCAGTTAAGTAGATGCTGCTTTCATTACATCTAACAGAGGTTAGACAACAGATGCAGACGGTGCAAGAGGACTCACACACAGATTGGATGGGAGGAGCAGACATTTAGGACTCTGATTTCAGACCCTGGTAGAATCAAGTCTTAGTAATTACAGCTGCAAACGCAGACTGTGATGGCGCTAAAATCACATGTGTTCTGGATAAGTTCGTAGTGGGTCCCTTTGCCAAAGGCAGACAAATGTCACAGAAAGATTGGCTCCAGGTATCTCTTCATCATCCTCTTCTGAGTGATCTTTCCATTACCATCATTATAGTACCAGGAAATATCATAAAAGCTAGATAGGTGTACTGGTGGAGCCTGTCTGCCAATCTCTTAGCAGAGGAGGCAGGAGGATTATTAAAGTCAAGGCCAGACTAGGCTACATAGTAAGGCCCTGTCTCAAACAAGCAAAACTTGCCCACAGACAACAAAATATATATATTTCAAAGTGCTAAATTATACATATATTTGCACACAATGCTCCATGAAGAAAGCTGGAGTATCTGTGTGTATGCTCCAGATTTTTTTTCTTTTTTTGAAACAGGGTCTCCCAATTTAGCCCTGGCTGGAATGGAACCGACTCTGCAGACTAGGCTGGCCTGGAACTCAGAGGTTTACCTATCTCTGCCTTCCCAGTGCTGGAACTAAAGGCATGCTCCAGCATGCGTGGCCAGACTTGTTTATTTATTTTTAATGTATGTCTGTGTCTCTGTGGTTGTGTCAGCACATGGGTTAGGGTAGTCATGGAGGCCGAAAGAAAACTGATGTTCCAGGAGGTTGGGCGCTCCCCAGTGCGGATGCTGGTAACAAACTCTGGTCCTCCGCTAGAGCAACAACCATTCTCAACCACGGAGCCTCTAGCCCTTATGCCCCGGAATTTACAATGACAGAAAACATATGAAAAAGACTTAGAAAGCTGAAAAAAACAAGAGCAGGATGTGGTGGCACACGTCTGTCATCCTAGCACTTAGGAGTTGGAAGTAGGAAGATCAGGAGTCCATCCCTGGTTACACAGCAAGTTGAAGGCTACTCCGTCCTCCATAACAGACCCTGCCTCAAAAATGAATAAATAAAGGCAAAGGACATTTTAAAGCAACAGGTTCTTTACCTGTTTTGTGTCCAGGTTTAAAATTCTGCTGTAGCAGAAGTTGTTTAGTAAAAGTATGTTACTCAAAGGCCCGTCTTTTGGTGTGTGGTGGTTGCAAGTCTTCCATCCCAACAAAAGCAGGTGGATCCCCGAATTCAAGGCCAGCATGGTCTACGTAGTGACACTGTCTCAAAAACAAAGCACTAAACAATCAAAGACCAACCCGAGGGATTGTTGGAAACCTGTGATATGCATGAATGTAAAGTACATGTAGTTGTTCTAGTGATGTTGGAGCCCAACTTTAGCGTTTTATTTAACTATGGACTCCTTTGCCTATCACAGATGATCTTCTAGCACTCCCCTATAACAGATATTGGGTATATCTAATGCCTCTGAAGTATGCATATTGAGGAGCCATTGAATTGTGTAAAACATCTCTAAGGGTCCACCTCTGAAGGAAGAGCTCACGGTGCAAGAGGAAGGAAGACACTGATGCAGACTTTCCCTCAGGCGTGCTCCGGCATGGGCATGAGCACAAGAAAGATAGTTCAGTACGTAGATTGCTTTCTGTGTAAGCATGAGAACCCAGCTTCAATCTCTGTAAACCACATAAAAAGCCCAACATGGTGGTATATGCTTGGTATATGAAACTCAGGATCCCTGAGTTTTGCTGGTCAACCTGCTTAACTTAATCAGGGAACCCCACGTCCCATGAGGTGTTCTGGGGGTGAGGGTGTGAATAATCTTCCACAGAACTAGGGTTCAATTTTAAGCACCTATATGGCAGCTCACAACTATCTGTAACTTCGGGGGAGCCAATGCCCTTTTCTAGCTTCTGTGGGCACCAGACTTGCATATACTGTATAGACATACAAAATAGATAGATAAATAAATTAAAAACAAACAAGGTAGACAACAATCCTGTCCTGGCTAGTTTTATGTCAATTTGACATAAGCTACAGTGGTTTGGGAAGAAGGATTCTCAATTAAGAAAATAAGATTTCCCTGTGGCCAAGTCTGTAGTGCATTAATTAATTAGACTGATTTGCTCAGCCTGTTGTGGGTGGTTCTGTCCCTGTGCAGTTGGTCCTGGGCCCTGTAAGAAAGCAGGCCGAGTAAGCCAGGAAGCAGTGCTTCTCCATGGCTTTTGCACCACCCCCAGTTCCTGCCCTATGTGAGTTCCCGCCTGACTTCCCTCCGTGATGGGCTGCAATTTATAACTGTAAGCTGAAAAATCTCTCCTCCCCAAGTTGCTTTTGGTCATGGTGGGGTTTTTGGCTTCAATAGTAACCGTCCTTGGGAAGTCCTCAGGAAGAACACCTGAGAATAACGTCTGGCCTTCGCACGTGTGGGCATGTGCACGTTCACCAGCACACGTACACAGGCACCGCACAAAATAATCGGGTTGAAAGGTATTGTTGCTTTGGCTGTGTGTAAATCGAGTGGGGAACTCACAGCGCAGGCCTCTACTAAATACTAAAGCATAGTGATGACTTAGATGACTGGTAAATCTAAGGAGCATCTCTGAGGTGTTTCTGGAAATAAATCTGCTTGGTAGTTAAAATATTGAAGTTGTCCTCAAGAGAAAAGCAGAGCTTTATTCTAATTAGACTCCGCCTGCCTTGTGTGTTGATGGAAAAGGGAAGCATTAAGTCCAAGCTCCAGAAGACCAAAGCCCGTTGTGGTAACTCTTACATGAAGGCCGCCAGCTTCTCTCTGACTTCTAGCCTGGTGAGTGTCATTGCTTGTTCCGGGGTTTGAGCTCCTGTGGTAGAACCTCAGCCCGTTGCTCTGCTAGGTTGCATGGTCTTATCAGCCAGAGAATCCAGCGGGAGCTCAGATTCCCACCCTGTGCTGGCTTTGGTTCTGCCTGCGAAGCATTCTCTATCCAGAGAGGAGAGTGTGGGGTTTCAGGGCTGCTGTGTCAGAGGCTCATCCTTGGCCTTTGGGGAGGAATGCTCTGATCATAGTGCCCCCCCCCCCGCAGTCACGGGGTCACCTTTCCAGCATGAGCAGATGGCTTGCCTGTAAAGACCTGGACGCAAATCCTAAAAGGCACCAGAGACACTGAAGTGGGAAGGAACTTTTTTTTTTTTTTTTTTTTTTTAAGACAGGGTTTCACTTGTGTAGCCCTGTTCTGTAGACCAGGCTGGCCTCTAACTCATAGAGATCCACTTGCCTCTGCTTCCTGAGTGCTGGGATTCAAAAGGAA